CCCCCCCCCCCCCCCCCCCGCCAGGCGTACACAGAAGCACATTTTATGGGTCTCTTTGGACGCGCCGCAAATTCCCAGCTCTGAAAGAGCCCGGTTCTGGTTACCGGTCCAGTTTGGAAAACAAGCCCTCTTTCCCACAGGCTTCACTGTACAGACAGGCCTGTGGCAGCACCACAGAGTAAGAAGGGGACACCCTGGGACAGGCTGCGTTCAGGCCTCCATGTGGCACGGTACAGTACAGTACATAACACACTGGGACTGACAGCCTACTGACCCCGTTGGCTCGAGGGTGTTGTTAGACTACTTAGCATGCCTCTTCACCATTTTTACCTCGACAGCGGCCAGTTACTACTGACTGACGGCTGTAGGGGACGAGGCCGATGGAGTCCATGCTGGCTCTGTGCACTTCAGAAGGTTTCGCCTGGGTCCTCTGGGTTCCGCCCACACACACACATGCAGACAAGTGTAACAAGACCTCTAACCTTGCCACAGTGTGTGTGTGTGTGTGTGTGTGTGTGTGTGGACGAGCATCCAATCCAGTTATGCTATACTATGTTGTGCTTTTTTCCAAGGGTCATAACTGAGCTGAATAAACCTAAACACTGCCCCCCCACTGTGTTACATTCAGCTGCAGCAAATATGCAATAATGGGACTATTCATGCAATATGATTTTAATCTTATTATTGTTTTAGATGTTGGTTTTTATGTATTTATTACATGCATAGGTATGCATGTGTGTATATGTGTGTACATGTGCATATTACTTTTTATTCAGACTTGGCATAGAAAAAAATTCTGTTGGACTGCAGTACAATGACAATTAAGTATATCTATCTATCTATCTATCTATCTATCTATCTATCTATCTATCTATGCTACATTAGCAGGCTTCCTCTTATTTTTGATATTACTGTCATTATAAATGAGGGGAGGAATGTTATTTCGTTTCACTGTGTATTTTAGATGGTCCACAGGACAATAAAGCTTTACTTCACTTGATATGATACGATACAGCCCCCCCCCCCCCCGGTGATCAGCATAAGTGGCTGGATGATGGTTAGATGGATCAGCAATGATTAGTTTGCCCTGTGTCAGTAATAAAACACGGTAGTGATACTTTACTAAGAATCACCCATGGAGATGTTCTTCTCTCTGCCTACCCCATCTTGCTCTCCAGGAGATACACATGCAGGTAAGAGCGAGCTTGGTGTCACAGCTTGGGGGCAGCCAGTGTGTAGCCCCCCTGGAACTGGGGGGAGGTTAAGGGCCTTGCTAAAAGACCCACAAACATGTGAGTATTCTGCCGGGGCTTGAACCAGCAACCTTCCAATCACAAGCACAGAGGCTTAGCCCACTGAGCTAAACACACCCCAAAACACATGTTTGGAGATTGATGAGCAGACCCCCAGGGTGGTGTGTAGTTTTGTGAGTTAAGATACTATGTCTATGTCCAGAAGATCACTGGTTCAAATCCCATGGCCACAAAATAGCCGGTAAGCCAAGTCGAGAAGCTACCCAAGGGACGCAAGATGAGTGTCCTTACTTGCAGAGGGCACACACGAAGCAGCGTGGGTGGTAGGTCTTCCCCAGGGCAGAGACCACCTCCCCCTCGATGAACTGGTCACAGCTGAAGCAACGCGTCCCATACAGCTTCTGGTAGTCCACGGTGCAGATGTAGTCTCCCTCCCGCACGAAGAACCCCCCCTGGGCCAGGTCACAGCCGCACACTGGGGAGGGAGAAGGGGGCACAGTCACAGCTGGGGAGGGACACACATCTTTAACTGCTTCATCCTTTAAGTACCAACAGTCACTTAACTGCCAGATTCATTCAGCTGCAGGATGCCTGACATTTGAAGGCAGTGTTTTGTGATGTGGAGAGACAGGAGACAGGGAGGGAATGGGGAAAAGAGGAAGAGGATGAGATGAGGAGAGGGGAAAGGGAGGAAGCGAGGAGGAGAGGAGGCAGGAGGGCAACAGTCATTAGGATGGAGAGACAGAGTGAAAAACCTTAATGAAAGAGAGGAGAGAACTGAAGAAAGAGGGAAGGAGCATAAGCAGAGGGGAAGGAGGAGAAGGCAAAGAGGGATCAGGAGGCAGTT